GTGACCAGATGTATGCTGTAGGAACTTAACTCTTATTTGTATCAACTAGCTTATGGGAAAATTGGTTTTGTTATAAGTCGTTTTGCTTAAAGTTGCAGTGTCCAAGAACCTATTGACAACATTAAATGTTGTCAACTTACTGCACAACTCTTTGCCCCTTGAGACCTTCCAGTGAAGTCTTTGTCATTGCCTATGATCAGATCTAAAAGATCACACAGGATTTTGGCCTGGAGCCAGACTTCTCATCCAGGCGTCGGCCAAGCAGAGTTTTCATGTGGAGGCTCTGAAGAAAAATATGCTTTCAAGCTCATTTTTGTTAGCAGAATCCATCTCTTGTAGTTGTAGAACTGAGGTTCCTCTTTCCTGCTGTCTGTATGCCGGGGTCCACTCTTAGTTCTTAAAAGCCATCCACATTCCTTTCCACATGGCCTCTCCATTTTCAAGTGAACAATGACACATTGAATTTGTTTCATGCTTGATATGTCTAATTTTCTCTTTTGTAGCCCGACAAAAGAAATTCACTGCTTTTGAAGTGCTCGTGTAATTGAGTTGGGCCCACCTGCATAATCTTCTTAAGGTAAGCTGATTTGAAACCCTAATTACATTAGCTAAATCCCTTCACAGTAGTATGGGCATTCATGTTTGAATCATTGGCAGAGGTGTGTGTACACCTGGGTCTGTGAATCTTGGGAGATAGTCTTAGAATTCTGTCCACCACAGCAGTTGTGTATCAGTTTTATGGCAGTTAAATTTTCCAGTAGCTCTGAATTTAGCATATGTAGGATGCTATACTAGTCCTAAGAGTAAGGCCAGTCCTAATTTTCAAACACCTTTGAAACACTTGAATTATAAATTCCAGCATCTAAAAGCTACTGGCATACCTCTTTTTCTTGTGCTTTATTTTATTATACTTTACAGGTGCTGCCTTTTATTTTACAAACTGAAGGCAAGACTCCACCAGCAAAAAGACTATGACTTGTTTTATTGCAATATTTGCTTTATATTGGTGGTGGTCTGGAATGAAACCTACAATATCTCTGAGGTATACCTGTATTTAGGAAAAGGACATTCACAAAAGGAGATATATAAGTTTTCAAGCAATGTAAACATTACCTCACTTTTAATTACATGAATGTAAATCAGAACAGCAATATAATATTTTTTACCTTTACACAACCTTGATGACTCCCCTGTTTGATGCAGAAATGAGATACTTTCACAAAATGATTTGGTAGTAAAATTTTGGCAGTTTAGAACTCTGCATCTGCGATCTTATTGTCCATAGAATTTGACCCAGTAATTGCATAATCAGGCCTTTTTTTTCCTGAAGAAATAATTAGAACTATGCATAAGTATTTACATAAAATAACATTTATTCCAATATTATTACAGCAGTAAACTGTAAAATTAAATCAATTCCTGCTAAAAGATGATACTATATAGAAATAAACTAAAATATGGATATTAAGATATTGACTATATAAATTTTACTATATACTAGCGAAGTAATACTATATAAGGAATAGGGAAATCGAGGAGAGTTCAATGAAGGTTAAATTTACAAAGTTAAACTAAAGCTTAAGAGAAACCAACAAGAGATAATGAAGCACCCTGGCAACATAAATGCCAGGAAGCCATTACCTGAAAGTGCAAGATAAGAGGGAATTTCTCAGAAGCCAGAGAGAGACCTGTAGCTAGAGAAGTCACTCAGCAGGAGCTACACGTATTGGTTGAGGAAAGCAGCTTGCTGCCAATTGGAGCCTGGCATGGGGGACATGAAGATGTATATAGTTCAGTCTCATTTCCCCTCAAGTGTATCCCATTGTTGGAATCCAACTAGAAGACAGAGAGCTAGATAGTTCATGTATGCCAGGCTCCTGGAGAACAGAGAAGAATGAAACATTTTGTAGAATGTGTCTAAGGGAGAAAATGGAGAATATCCAGCAAAGTAATCATTTTTAGCTCTCAGCGTGCACTTTTGTTCTTTGCCCAGTTGAAACATTTATGCATGTTTCTACATGTTGGGGATGACTGAATTCTGGGCAAGCACATGTGCATTAGGCAAAGTATTATGCAAAAACCAAGTGTCAATCAAAATGACCTCACATGCCAATCATTTAGGAACGCCTTCGTAACCACCCAATCACAGCCCTAAAATAATCCATATCTTCCCCTTCCACGGGATTACAGTTCTCTTTCCTTGCTATATTCTCACTTCTACATGGTTATCCAGTTTAGGTGTGACTCGTTTTCTACCTCAAAATGTGCCTTTAATAAATCTTACCTCTCATAATTGTCACTGATTGCAAATTCATTTCTTCCTCAGTGATAAGAACCGAGACTTGCATGTTACCCGAACTCCAATCACTGTAATGGTAACGTAAGGACTATATAAGCTGAACACCTCAGACAGAGGATGCTCAAGCCTGACCCAATGGCATTACGAACAGGTGCGCTAGAGTCGAAAATTCTGACCTTCTGATCTGTCATAGCCACTGGCTTGGAACCAACACGTAGCTTTCTGAGCCTCCAGTAAACAGAGCTCGCTTGGGAGACACTAAGGACTTTCATCCCTTTGCTCTGTCACATAAGCATCTGTATTTTCCCTCTCTGTGTGTTATGTGTTAACCTGCGTGAGTACCTGATTGGTTTATCCGAGAGGGTTCCACTCAAGAAACCTGTCATTGTGGAAAGACACAGATGCATTCAAGTATTACTTTGGTAGCCGCTTTCCTTGTTTGCAACAGAAGGCCACAAACTCTTACCTCTGATGGACGTTCATGGTCTGTCTAAGCAGTATGTGAAGGCTACAGCAGTGTCATTAACTTCTGTCTAAGTATTGAAGGTATGTCCCAACAAACACACATAGCCCAACTGAATAGACTGGGAGATTTTTTTGGTTTTACTTATTTAAGAAAACCTCAGTCAAATGATTACCTGACCAAAAATCTAAGAACACAGACTTTAGTATCCACATATGACAAAGGATACAGACATTATAAAATTAGTTCAGAAAACTACTAAACAAGTCAAGTAACAAGAGCTACAAAAAGCAGCATAAATCTTGGGATGAAGGGAGAATCAAATTTCTAGGGTTACCACATTACAATGTACAGAATGTCCAGTTTTCATTAAAAAGTCAAAACATTCAAAGAAAAAAGAAAGTATGGCCCATACACAAGGAAAAAAAAAAAAGCAATTAAGAGAAACTTCCCCAAGAAAGCCTTGATATTGAACTTATTAGACAAAGGCTTAAAATCAGTAATTTTAAATGTGTTCTAAGAGCTAAAATAAACCATTTCAAAGAGCTAAAGAAAATCATGAGAATACTATCTTATTCGATAGAGACTGTCAATCAATAAATGGAGAATATCAATAAAGTATCAATAGACAAGTCTGTAAGTAGGAATTATAAATAGATATTGCAGGGGTATAAACATAATTTTCCTTTCACCTTCTAAGTTTTTCTAGCTGATAATCAAATTAATAATCAAATTAACAAGCAGATTAAGAGGAGAAAACATCCAAAGTTTATTATACAAATATATATTTAAAGGTGTCATAATGAGACCCTAAAGGGGCACTGGGCAGTTGAGCTTTATATGCCATCTGGAGCAAAGGAGAAGAGAGACAGGGATCTCGAATTTAGAAGGGGAAGTAGGCAATTCACAGGTAGCCAAGAAAGAGTAGAAGATCTTCTGCTTGGCAACCCAGAAACAATGGAACATAGGGGAGAATCCAGTATAACAGGTTTTTGTATGGGTCCCTCCTGTCCTCTATACTTAATTCAAATTAAGCTAAGGTAAAAATACTGAAGTGAATATGCTAAAACTCCCTTCCTGAAGCAATTTTTTTTTCTTATCTAAATTACCTTAAACAGGAAAGGGGGCAGAGTCAAAGGTTCTTTTAGAGTCTTTTGTTTCTTAATAACCAGCTTAAAATCAGTATCCCAAAAGGTATATTTATGTGTGGCAAAATTTTGGTCTCCTTCAATATTATGGAATTAAAAATACCATAACTCGAAAATACTTACTGTCAATTGCCATTCAATAGGGAAAAAATAATGTTTCAATAAATGGTGCTGGAACAACTGTATATCCACAGTTGGAACTATATCTCAAACCATGTACAAATATTAACTCAAAATAGATTAAAGACCTATAAATAATAGCCAAAACTATAAAACTCTTAGACGAAAATAGAGAAGTATATCTAGTAACCTTGGATCAAGCAACAGTTTCTTAAAATGACACCAAAACCACAAGCAATAAACTAAAAAAAAAAAAAAAAAAAGGTAAGTTAGAATTCATCAAAATCAAAAACTTTTGTGTATCAAAAGACACTATCATGGAAGTAAAAAAAAAAACTATAAATTAGAAGAAAATATTTTCAAATGATATATCTAATAAGAATCTAGTATCCGGAACACATAAAGAACTCTTCAAATTTAAAAATGAGCAAAGAACTAAATAGACATTTATTCAAAACAGATATGCAAGTGGACAAAAGCAAATAAAGAGGTGTTCAATAACATTAATTATTAGGGAAATGCAAATCCAAACCACAATGAGATACTACTTCACACTCACTGGGATAAGTAGAATCAAAAAGCAGAAAATAGCAAGTGCTCATAAGGATGTAGATAAAATGCAGCTCTCATATATTGCTGTTGGAAATGTAAAATGGTATAACTGATATAGAAAACTATTTGTCTGTTATTCGAAAAATTAAACATAGAGGTATATGGCATAGCACTTCTACTCCTAAGTGAATACCAAAGAGAATTAAGGACATATGTCCCCATAAAATTTGTACATAAAATCTCAGAGTACCATGATTGTAAGTCAAAAAGTGAAAACAACTTAAATATCCATCAACCAATAAACAGATAAATAAAATGCAGTATATCTATGCAATTGAATATTATTCAGTCATAATAAGTACTGATGCACTGACACTTAATGCAACATTAATAAACCTAAAAAATTTAGGCTAGGGGTGGCTCCATAGTGTAGTGGTTAGCACGTCTGCTTTATACGCAGAAGGTCCTGGGTTCGCACCCCAGGTAGAGCCATAGACCATACCCAGAGTTTGCCAGGCCCTCTCCCCCAATGCACTGAGGGTGCCAAGCCCCGAGGGCGCCAGGTCCCGAGTGCTTGCCACAAGCGCGTGAGAGGAGACGCCTCGCCTTCAGAGATCTAGGTCTTAAGGGGAAAGGGCAACATCCATGGGTCGGGGTGGAAGGAAGGTGGCGAATTAAAAAGAGGGAAAAAAATGTAAGCTAAATTAAAGTAGTCAGATTAAAAAGGCAACATATTGCTTGATGGCATTTTCCAGAATAGCCAAAGCCATAGAAGCAGAAAGTCGATTAGTGGTGCCCAAGGTCTGGGGGTGGTGCAAGAGCTGAGGGCAATTAGGAGTGAATGCATAAAAAAATAACAGCATTTATTTTGGGAGTAATGGAAATGTTCTGGTGATAGTGGTGATGATTGCACAACATTGTAAAAGGATATACTAAAAAAACGCTGGATTTTATGCTTAAAAATGATTAAAATGGTGAATTTTATTTTATGTAACCTTTCATTAAATTAAAAAAAAACTTAATCAGAAAAGTAGAAGCCACTATATCATTCATGGGGTAGTTTATCTTTAAGCCTTCACATCAGCATCAAATTATTAATTATTAAAAGGGCTTGTAATTTCACTATATATTTATATACATATATACATTTGGTAATATCTATCTATAGCTATCTAAAATTTATATATAGCTGATTCTTTGGGGAAAAAAACACTGACAGCACTTTAAATAATAAAATTTAAGATGCTAACATGAGTTTCTAAAGAAAATGTTTCTTTAATCTTAAATGAAGCTTACTATTTTACGATGTAAAAAAAATAACATCTCAGAAATTTTAAAAACAACAGAATGTGCCCATCCATTAAATACTTCAAATATAATGAGTAAAACATTACTTATGACAAATTTGCAGGTGCTCCTACGGAAATCGGGAATTTGAACTGCATTTAGTTTTCAAGTTTTTTTAACTAATTGATTAAATGTGAAATCTATAAATTACCATAAAATTTTATAGAGAAAATATAAATATTTAACTCTCTGTGTTCTTTTTTCTCTGTGTATATATGTGTGTGTATGTGTATTGTATGTGTATTATGGGCGTTTCCTGTGTTAATGCTTTCACACACAATTATAATGCAAATGAAACAAAGATGATTTGTCTCGTGTGTTTTATTATACATTATAAATTGTTTTAAATATATACTCTAGTTTCTACACTTAATTTCCTCAACTTTAATTTTTTTCCTAGCAGGATATATAGAATGCTTTGAATTTTCAGCATTTTTAATAATATTGTACTTAAAACTGATGACAATCTGTTACTTCTCCACTTAATCATAATGTAAAGTCAAAACATATGAAGAGCTTATAAAATTTAGCACGAATTACAGTTTTCTACAAAAAGTTACGGAAATTCCCTGAATCATAAAGTCCTACCATATTTGAAGTGGGAAAGGATCATAAATATCATGTGGCAATTTAAACTTTCTCATTCTACAGATGAGAAAACAAGGAGTAAAAGAGCCAATGTCATCTGACTGCCTAAGACTCTTTTTAACTATTTCATAAGATTCTTTTCAAACTTTCCATAAAAGTTTCTACAGATACCATTTGCCAATAACCTGAGTCTCACAACTCTTATGTTTAGGAAGTTACAAAAAGTAAGTAAGGCACTGTTAAAAGAACATAATCTTGATCAAGACAGACCTAGGTTATGTTCTTGCTCAGGCATTTATTAACTGTGTGTCCTTGGGCAATTTCTAGGAACTTTTAGAATTCCACTTCTCTCATTTCTAAACTGAAGGAAAGATAATTTTTTTCTGTAGTTATTTTGGAGATTATGGTAGATAATGTAGGTAAAGCACCTTGCACTTATCATTTGGTGGGAGCTAACATTTCATAATTTCCCCTATTACTAGTCCATTCATAATTGTTTTGATCCACTGATGTAGAGAAGAAATTTTGCCTCAAGGTTCATAGCTTAGGTCTTTGTTTAGGTTAGCCTTAACCTTAGAATATTAACCTTGTACTAATGGACTCTCTTTCATGAGAAGAATCAATTTTTGTTGAAGTCTGGCACTAAATTTCTGGCAGGTGTTTCTCATGTCTGCATCATTGATTGCATTAGTTTACCAGATATAGCTGACACATAAGTCCCCTTTAAGAAAAAAAAAAATGGTCATCCGCATTCAAGTTACATCCTTAAAGTTTAGAAGAAGTTAAACAATTTAAGGCTCTCTGTAAACCTCTTCATGTGACTGGCCTAAATGTTTTGGATCCAAAGTTTTACCATTAAGTTTAGATGCTTACTCTCAAAAAGAACCAAGTTAAGGTGCATATGCTATTTCGAAGTAGTTCAGCCATTATTTTGAATGAATCTCTTGTTAATTAAATGACACATTTTTCTCTTAGGGGATAGATACCTACAATAGGAAAGAGTTGTGGATATGACTGGAATCAGGTTTGAGAAGAAGGTAGGAAATTAAATAGTGCTAAATTTAAAATTTTTGGTTAATACCAGGGCAAAGGTGCACTGGATTCAATTAACAGAGAGAGAAAATATGAGTCAAAATAAAACTACAAACATTTTTACAAATTATTAATCTATGTCACAACCTCTTACCTCACCAAAGTTTTCTGTGCCTCCTAAAATACCTACCTTGAAAAACTTTTCTTTGATAGGGTCATTATAAAAACCATAAAATAAAAAGCTATAAAAATTGAAATAAATGTTTTTTATAATTCTTGTTCTGTGTTCTTCCACTATTCCAATATCCCTCATAAGGTAGTAAATACACACATACATGCATACACACACACACACACACACACAGTTACAGTAGACAGGAAGAATAGAGCCGCTCACCGGGGTAAAGAGCAGAGAAAGGAAGGAGGAGGTTCGATCAGTTGTTAAGAAAATGCCAGCACCAGACCAACCTGAACTAGATCCAGAAGGCTGGTGGGGGATCTTGAACGCCATCTTACCTCTTCACGTGACCTTTGGCTGATTACAATACTATTAGCATGGCAGCCTAAAAGAATCTTCATCCCTTACATCGCCATGACAGATCCGAAAGAGCCAAATAAGGACAAAAATACCCTCTCCCGATGTAGGGGAGTGGTCCACTAGGAGCCATCTAGGAAAACCTATGCCACCACCCCCAAGTGCTGAATAGTCCACCCTTTCATTTTATGTGTAATAAATTACCAAATCCCACTTCTCTTGGAGGCAATTGCTCTTCTCTGAGCCTGTCTGCTCTTGTTGCTTTGAAAGTGTACTATTCTTTGCTAATAAATCTACTGCTTACTTGGCTTATTTGTGAGTCCTCGAATTCATTCCGGCAACGAATATTAAGAACATGATATCTGGTGACAAAACTACCAATTCAATAAGATAGCCAGTGTTTCCTAAAGTTAAGATAGCTGAACTGATCACCAATAGTATATGAGGCTTAGTTATTTTGAACTAGCAATTCTTCAAATATTGTTTACTTTTTCTTTCAATTATTAATCCTCTTTATAGATTTAATTAACAAGATGGTCAAGAAAATTGCATGTTTGTGGTGTAAGCACATTTGTGGTTGCATGATCCAAGGAGACCAGGGATAGTGTACTCATAAGCACAGGAGGTAATTAGAAATCTTTTCTCTATGTTCACTTGGAAGTCTCCAAAGTTTCAGAACTTATTTTTAAAATGACATCTAGCAGACGCAAATTATGAACTGACATATCAAATTTTCAATATTTAGCTTTGACATAAAACAAAAATTATCTGAGGTACTGAGAGAGAATGAACCGGAGTCTGTTATGTGTAACAGAATCCTGACTTTATCAATATGTTAGGGTCTTTAACACACAGTTACACTATATAATAATGTGCATAGGTATATATTTTTAGATCTTCTTGTTGTTCTCAGCAATTTATTGTTTTTGTTTTTAGCTACAAATTGTGCGAAGATGACAAAGAGATCTCTTAAAATTAAGGTACAGAATTTGGTAATTAAAATTTTGTAGTTTTATTGTATAGGTAGTAAACACAAAACATAAAGTTCCACCACAGCAAAATTTTTTCTGCCATTTCAAAATTTGAGGATATTTAAATATTTTTGTTTTAATTATTATCATGTAATATGTTTTATATCTGTTGTAAAATATAGAACACAAAAATGAACAAAGATCACTCACAATCCCATAATCACACTGACAAAATATAACCACTGACAAAATATAACAAAATCATATACATATATATACACACAGATACTTCTATTGCTATAGTTAAATATATATGCATTTTAAAGGCTCTTGATACATATTGACCATATGTTCTCTAAAAGAGCTGCATTTATTTGGAAACCACAAGCAATATATGTATCTCTTTCTTCACACCTTCACCTAAACTGAATAATTTTTTCAATGTTTGAAAATTTGATCACAATAAAAAAATATATTTTATTTTTGTTTTTCTTGTTCAGCAGTACTTGAACCCACAACTGAATAGTGTCACAACTTAGGCTTAGCATCCTACATTGGAAGAAGGAAACTGCAGAGTAATAAACTGCTAGGTACCAAGAATAAATAGATCCAACATTACTCTATCACTCATAACTGTCTTCTGCTTCAGTTTTCTCAGCAATAATACAGGACTAACCCCTGTCATGCCTATATATTGAGTTGGTATTAGAATCAAACAAATACAAAGTTATCAGTGTGAAATACCTTAGCATCACACAAATGTTGCTATATCTATCCTCATCAATTCTCATTTTCCTCTTGGCATGGAAAGAGACTAAGCCATACTTCGGATAGAGGAGAAAAAAGTGCTGTGTCCAAGAACCTAAAAGATGGTAAGTTAATTAACTTTTTCAAAGCACCCTAACAAGACATGGACACACAGACAGAGCTGGAATTGGCATTTAATATTTTCAACTTCATTTCTAGTCCTCAGCTTAGCAGACCATTATCCACATCTGACACTATTCCAAAAAAAAAAA